AATATAAGTCTCTGTGTGTTATTTTGGCCACCCATGTGGCAGCAGGGCTCAGGCAGCTTAGGGGAAAGATTTATCATTACATAGGTATATATATATATATATATATATATATATATATATATATTTTCTTGTATCCATCTGGTCCAGAACTGAGGACTAACAGGAAAACCAGGACTAACATAAAAACCAGTTTTTATTGTACTGAAAAGGTGCCACCTATCTGAACAGTTTCTTAAAGTAATGTTACTTGACATAAAATAAATTAAAATGTGAACGAGAAGCACAGTATGTAATCTCATGAGGAAGCAGGCATGTCTGCTGCCAGTCCTTCACTTTAACTTACCCAGTATTCCAAGTGCACCTTTCTCTATATATTCTTCTGCCTGGTCAACAAGAATACCTAAGCAAGTTCAAATCTTCTTATTACTGCTCCTGCATGCTCCTTACCACCGACCTCTAAGAACCGCCATCAATCAACTGGTAGGTAATGAGACTATGATACAGTGGCAAGGGTGGGGTCAACCTGAATTACGAATTTCATAGTTTTGCCCACATGTCTATGTTGTATCTCAGTTCACAACACTAATTACTAAGGAATTCATTTCTCAAGATGTTGCCTATACCAAGGAAAGTCCTAGGACTTATTATTCTAAAGACCAGAACTGTTTCTAATCACCATGCACTATATTTCTGTTCCTCCTCATTTCACAAACTTTTCCAATGTTAAAACATTCAGGCATGCTGTAGAAAACAAAACTACAGAAACTGAGGGAAAGCAGCTGAAAAGTCTCCACTTGGTTGTGGGCAGGTTTAGATGGGTATGTGTGTTCATTCACGTGGGGAGGGGGTACATGTGTGTGGATGCATATAGAGGACAGAGGTCAAATTTGAGTACTATCCTCAGTTGTCATCCACTTTGCATTTTGAGACATGATCTCTCAGTAGGACCTGGGACTTGCTGATTCAGCTTGGCTGGCTGGGTGGCCAGTAAGTTCTATGGATATGCCTCCCCAGCATGTTAGGAATTGAACTCAGGTCTTCATGGTGCATAACAAGCACTTACCAACTGAGCTAGATCTCCAGCACACACTTTTACATTTTGATGGAATTTCTCAAACAACAACTGTCTTCTAGTTGAAGTATGCTCAACAAGGCTGTTTCCCAAAGATAACTGGTGGTCAGATCCAGTATCTTCCTGTTTACCTGAGAGAGGCTGAGTCTTTGTCCAGCCAGTCATGGTTTCTGAGGAGTCTACCTCCAGGATGCTACTGCTGTGAGACTTCGGGATATGACGCCAAGAAGGGACAAACCCTGGTCTCTTTGTGCTTTGATCCCTTCAAAAGAGAATCCATAGTAGTACAAGTTTCAAAAGGTGGCTTCTAACAACATTCCTAAGACAAAAATTTCAAAACAGAAAGCAACCATCATAAAAGCTTGGGAACCAGGGTCATGGGTTAAACCATGCTAAACCATGATACAGCAGCTCCAGAGGCTGAGGCAGGAAAATGAATTAAGTCTAGAAATTCCAGGCCTGGGCAATAAGAATTGAAGAAGAATTCATCTCAGATCAAAAGAAAGAAAGAAAAAGCTCTTGTACTATAGATTATATTGGTAAATTCTCTATTTATGCTGGTTAAAGGACTCTGGGGAGAGACATGGTGGTGCTTGCATTTAATCCCAGCACCCAGGAGGCAGAAGCAGGCGGATCTCTGTGAGTTCAAAGCCAGCCTGGTCTACAAAGTGAGTTCCAGGCCAACCAAAACTACACAGTAAGAACCTGTCTACAAAACAAAGAACAAAACAGTAAATAGGAAGGGAGGGAGGGAGGGATGAAGAGAGGGAGGGAGGCAGGGAGGGAGGGAGAGAAAGAGGATGGGAGGGAAAGGACTCAGAGTGAGGAGGCTCTACCTTGTTTCTTTGAAAAAGCCTTGTTCTGGGGTGGACAGGCTCACTAACTCTTCAGCAAACAGAAAGGAAAACAGCAAGCTGCTAAGAGTGTTAAAAACATTGTATCCAGGGGGGCTGGAGAGATGGCTAAGGACCTGGGTTCAATTCCCAGCACCCTCACAGCTGCTCACAACTGTCTGTTAACTCTAATTTCAGGGAATCTGGCACACTCACACAGGCATACATGTAGGCAAAATACCAATGCACATAAATTTTGTGTGTGTGTGTGTGTGTGTGTGTGTGTGTGTGTGTGTGTGTGTGTGTGTCTCCTCGGACTGATAAGACGGCTCAGTAGGTAAAGGTACTTGCTACCTGGCATTGTGACATGAGACAAAACCAAGAAACCACCATGGTGGGAGAAAACTGACTTCCACAAGCTGTCCTCTAACACATACATATACAAAATGTTTTTTTTTTAAAAAAACTAAACAAAAAACTAAAAACAAAACATTTTATACTTAAGAACAGCTAGAAGGTAGTGTCATCTCCAATCAAGGTTATTATTATTTATCCCATAGTATACAAATGACTACAATAGGAACTGGAATTAGAAGGTCATCCATGGAAAGGACAGAAGAAGATTGTCCAGCAGAATTCTCAGTGGGAAGTGGCAGCCAGCTGCCTCAGCTTCTCTAGCCAGCTTCTGCAGAATGACTATAGGCCCAAATTTGATGATGTTAGCTATTTGCTATCACTTGCTCTTTTACTTGGAAGCCTCAGCCAAAGGGATACTCTGCCCTACTCAGTATTCTCTCAATTAGGAACTCTAACTGGCTGCCTCAAAGGGCCTTTCTCAGGCAACTTCTGCTGAATGTTTCTGAACCCCAAATTGATGATAATACCTTTTGCTTGCATTCTCAATTAAGCTACTCTAGTCATCTCTGAATGTTTTAGTATATCAGGTTTATGATGTCTTGTTTGCCCACTATTCATCCTTGTCATTTTGCTTGCTTACTTAATAAATTCATTCACTCTGCTATACTATTTCCAAAACAGATACTTGTGTTTTTCTCTAGTTTCCTTCACATCTTGTGTATCTAATAGTATCTGGCAGCCAGATGGTAGTGGCATGCACCTTCAATTAGCATTCAGGAAGCAGAGGCAGGGGGATCTCTGTGAGTTCGAGCCCACCCTGTTCTTCAAGAGCTAGTTGGGGGGGGGGGTCTCCAGCATCTAGTAGACATCCAAAATCTGTTATATGAATTAATGAACATATTCTCATGTTACTATTTTCTTACTTCTTACTGATGTCTTTTATTTTGGAGGGCAGACTGGAAATCTTACCATGCTGGGCAAGTATTCTACCCACTAAGCTAAATTCAAGCCCAAGGTACTAAACCTTTGTAGCATTTTCTCATGCATAAAACTGAGCAGGGTCCAGCAGACAGGCAAGAACAGTAGGGAAGAATAAGGATATGGCAAAACGCTTTCAAATGAGGATATAATCATTCCTTCCAAATCAGCTAGAAGGCTAAGAATACTGCTTCTGGTTAGGGGCAGAAAGATGTGTGGTGCACACCTTTAATTCCAGCAGAGACAGATGGATCTCTGAGTTCGAGAGGTCAGCCTGGTCTACAGAGCAAGTTCCAGGACAGCCAGGGCTACACAGAGAAACACTGTTTCAAAAAACCTGAACTAAAACAAAAACAAACAGAACAAATAAAAGTAATAATAATAATAATACTGCTTCCACAGCAAAAACAAAAAACAATGTACGGAGAGCAAAATAAGGCCTTCAGACAGGGTATAATGAGCTATACTAAACTGCCATTATTATGTTATGGGCTTATGATTATCAATAATTTCATAATTAGGCCCCCAGTAACCCAAAGCCAAGAGAAAAATCAAGAATAAATTACAGGTTAGATTTCTTCTCTGATTTTAAAATCAGTGTTTTGATTCACTAATATACCTCTTTTTTTATTTTTGTTTTGGTTTTGGTTTTTTGGTTTTTTGAGACAGGGTTTCTCTGTGGCTTTGGAGGCTGCCCTGGAACTTGCTCTATAGACCAGAATGTCCTCAAACTCACAGAGATTCACCTGCCTCTGCCTCCCAAACTCTGGGATTAAAGGCATGCACTACCACTACCCAGCCAAATGTTCAATTTTTAAAACCTATATTCATAGCTGGGCGGTGGTGGTGCATGCCTTTAATCCCAGAACTCATGAGGAAGAGGCAGGTGGATCTCTGTGAGTTCGAGGCCAGCCTGGTCTACAGAGCCAGGGCTGTTATATAGAGAAACCCTGTCTTGAAAAACAAAACCTAAAAATAAAACCTCAAAACTTACATTCATGTTGTACATTAGATATCTAGACTTGTTCATCTTACATGCCTGACAAATGAGGACCATTTTACAAGTTGGCACCTTACCCTTGTTGGATCTCTCTGTATTGCTCCAACTTTATTATGTTTTGTTTAAGTATGTTCTAAATAAGCATTACTGCATAGCTGATGCTTGAAATAAAAAGCTACCACCTTTACTACTCCTCCCCACAGAGGGCGCTGTTGCTATAGAAAAGTAAGTAGAGACTATGGTCAGATAGTGCTAAAACCTAGCTCCAAGTAGGTAGCTCACATTGCTGCAAAGAACTATCGCTATTAAAAGACCAGATAATACCTGTACACATTCAGGCTCTCAGGAGGGGCTGCATCCAAGCTGATGGGGCTGCTGCTGTTCCTCTCGCTGCTCTCATAGCCAGATTCCATCCGCTGGATTAGGCGTGGATGCTGCTCTAAAAGATGAGCACCTGGCCGGGCTGGGCCCCAGGGTTTATGCTGTGAGCTTGACCCACCAGCTTTAATGTCATAAGCAGATGGCTTGCTTATTTCATCTGGTGTAAATTCTTTAGCTATTCCAAAGGACAAATATAGAAGAGGTATATTTAGCATTTGCCTAAATGAAAATCTAACTAAACCCTCCATCTATTCAATGAAGACATATCTTCAAAACCACATGACATCAGAGTAAAGATGTTCTTTTCCAGCTATACCAGAAAAATCAGAATTTTTTTAAAAATTTATTGTGTATACAGCATTCTGCCTGCTCGCCAGAAGAGGGCACCAGATGTTGTTATAGATGGCTGTGAGCCACTATGTGGCTGCTGGGAATTAATTCAGGACCTTGTGGAAGAGCAGTCAGTGCTCTTAATCTCTGAGCCATCTCACCGGTCCCAAAACTTAGGATTTTTAAACACATAAATCAAATGTATTTGAAAGCCCACTTGTTTCCCTCATTCTCTGCTCACCTGAATCTTCAGAAAAGGTCCTAAGCTGAGTGTAGCCACAATGCTTCCTTTTGTCCTTACTAAAAATGCTGTCAATATTCAGTGACTCTCGTTTGGGTCTCCATGTTGGGCGGTACTTGCTGGAAGAACTGTATTTTGCCTCACTGCTGATACTCTCAGTTTCCCAGTCCCGAGAGTGTAAAGGCAAGTTCCTTGGTGGTGTCTTGTCCGGCTGGTCTCCTGCCCTGCCTGCACAGGGAGATCCTGCATTGGTATGAGAAGCCAAGGAAGGCCTGCTGTGGATAATATTGCTGACTGTCTCTTTGAAATCTTTTAGCCTGCTGGTGCTGCTGGGTTTGGAGGCATTCCTAGGAGCCTGCTTCTCTTTCAGTGTTTCTCCTAAAATTCACAAAGAATGAAAGGAAAAAAGGGTTTAAAATAATTACATATGTCCTGATCCTAAAGTTGAGAAAGTAAGGAAAATCCCTTCGGCAAAAGAAAGTTTAATAAAGGATTGCAGATGGCTTGCCTTCACTGTGGTACCCTGATGCCTGTGGCTCATCACCTTTCCTCCTAAGACGCCCAGAGCTCCTCTTGCGCTCTACCAGGGACCCTTTCTTCGATGTGTGCTTCTGATTACATTCACTATCAGTCAGGTGCCCTGAAAGAACAAGGAAATGGGAGCAAGCTGCTTTCTGCAACTGACCCCCCACCCTCTTGAGAACCTAGGTCTCCCTTTGGGACTTATAGTATTGTCACAAGTTTATTATACACATGGATCAGAAACTGTACGGTCAGAGCTATGTCATGTAAGTGTAAGAATCTCTCAAAAGGTAAGTGCAGGAAAGCTTAATAGTGCCTTCCAAGTCTACAATATATCCTGAACAATCACCAGCCTCAAACCACACTCATCATCTTTCCCAGTGACCCAGAAGAACTAAACATGTTTTAACAACTCCTGTCTGCTCTTTAGTGATGAGGAATCATATCTTTACAAGACCAACTAGGCACTGCTCCATCAGCCCTTGGTAATTTTTCTTTTTCTGTCCTGGAACTTGCTCTGTAGACCAGGCTGGCTTCGAAATCACAGAGATCCACCTGCCTCTGCCTCCCGAGTGCTGGGATTAAAGGCGTGCACCACCAACACCTGGCAGCCCTTGGTTATTTTTCAAAGGCAAGAAAAAAAGAAGTATTATCTAAAAATGTCATGAACCCACATATTTTTGTCCCCTCCCCACTTCTTTGTTTGTTTGTTTGTTTGTTTGTTTGTTTGTTTGAGACAGGGTTTCTCTGTGTAACCCCATATGTCCTAGAACTCATTCTGTAAGCCAGGCTGGTCTTGATTGAACTCAATATAGATCTGCCTGCCTCTGGCTCCCAAGTGCTGGAACTAACAGTGTACACCACCACACCTGGCACCTTCTTCCTTTTTTAAATCTAAGGTGATTGGGTTGTATTGTTTAATTAAGGCAGAGTCTTGTTAGGGTCTTGCTTTTATTTTATATAGTCCAGGCTGACTTTAATTCACAGTAATTCTCCTGCCTCTTGAATACTGAGATTACAGGCATGCATCACGCCTACCTCCACTCTCATAAACTGAAGATGACAGAATTTGCTTTTATTTGGCAATAGCTCTCATTATGTATAGCTTTAGGACTCAGTTCTAAATCTTCTGTAAATGTGAATTTTAAATGGCATTTCAATTTTGATTAATTCTCATTCTCATCTCCAACCTATGCTTTACCAAATCTGACTTCACTCAAACATTCATAATTTATTATCAATAATCATTGAGAAACCCCAAGGAAAATCAGTATTTTATGTAACTTTGCCAGCATCATGTCCATAATATACAAATGTAAGAGCATGGTTTATATTATTTAAAAAAGGTCAGATTCTAAAGAATAGAATCAGCTAAGCAACTGGAACCCAGAAGGTGAATTAAGTGTGATGACAGACTAAAAGAAACCACCCAGAACTCAAATGCATGGGAGCTAACATGTCATTGTGACATGTTGGTATACAAAGAACCTTGTAGGCACTTAGGTTATCAGTAATGCAGTGTGATAGACATTATTCTCAACCAATCACCTCATGCAATCTTTTATTGCTTTTATTCATCTATTTATTTGGGCCAAAGAGAAAGACTTACAAAAAGAGAAAATCACCTACAACAACTAAATGATACCAAGGTTAAACCACTAGGGATTCTACTGACGATAAACTTAACATATATATCACTCTCTCGAAGGAGTGGCTTCTCTCTGATTCACAATCCAGAAAGATGGCCTTTAAAAAACAATTGTACCTACACCATCCACATAACAGTCTTCAAGAGAAACCCAATGAGTCCGACCAAACTTCTAAGTCCAACCACCACCTAAGAAACAAGATGTAGCTGGGCAGTGGTGGCATAGGCCTTTAATCCTAGCACTCAGGAGGAGAGGGAAGAGGATCTCTGTGAGTTCCAGGCCAGCCTGGTCTACAGAGCAAGTTCCAGGACAGCCAGGGATATGCAAAGAAACCTTGTCTCTAAAAACAAAACAAAACAAAAATAAAGTAGCCTAAAATGATTCACAGCCATCTGTAAGTCCAGTTCCAGGGGATCTGACATGTTCTTCTGACTGCCAAGGACAGGGTGCACACACACAAATGCAGGTAAAACATACACATAAAATAAGAAAGTAATAAAATAAATCTAAAAAAAATAAGAAATAACCTAAAAGACCCATTGCAATGTTGGAATTTCATTTTGATTTTGAGCAAAACACACAAACCAGCAAAGACGGCACTCACAATAGCAAAGTCCTCAAGGTGCTCAGAAGCTGAAAGTAGAATTACTTTCCTTTAACTTTTGTTCCCGTGCAGGACTCAAACACAGAGCCTCGCACATGTTAAGCACACGCTGTTCACTGAACTACATCCATGCCTTTATTACTATTTTTAAGTATGTTTGCAAATGATTTTTTGTTTTTGTAATATATACTAAACTATCTATGGAAGAAGGAATATAATGTCTTGAATTTGCTTGAAAATAATTGAGGAATAAGGGACATCAGTAAAATTGCATTGGTCTTGGGTTACAGTTACTGCAAGTAGGTGATGAATATATGAGCATGGACAGTGCTCTATGCTGCATATTTAGAACTGTTTGAAATTCTCTATCTGTATTAAGGGGGAAGAGGGAGAAATGGCTAGTGGTTAATAGCAATGGCTGATCTTCCAGAGGGCTTGGGTTCAATTCCTAGCACCCATATGGCAGTTCACAACTGTGTGTAACTCTAGTTCCAAGGGATCCAAGGACCTCTTTTGGTCTCTGTGGGCAGCAGACACACACACGGTACACAAATATCCATGCAGGCAAACACCCATATATCTAAAAATAATCTTTTTAGGGGCCAGAGAGATGGCTCAGCGGTTAAGAGCACTGACTGTTCTTCCAGAGGTCCTGAGTTCAATTCTTGGCAACCACATGGTAGCTCACAACCACCTTGAATGAGGTCTGATGCCCTCTGCTGGCGTGCAGGCAGAAGACTGTATACATAATAAATAAAATCTTTAAAAAAAAATAATCTTTTTAAAAAGAAAAAAAAATTAATGAAGAGAATAAAGCATTAATCCAAAGAAATGAGCTTTACTAACCCCCAAAGTCCTTAAGCATTTAAATAGTATTTCATGCCTTAGCTGTTCTATTTCTCATAACTTTTCATCTCAGTAGTCATCCACCATTCTTCCTTCTGTGCCCTGTAATGACATCCTCCACTGATACCAGCACAGATTTAAAAAACAATCAATTCATGAATTCTTCTGTGTGGAATGTACAATAATAAGCAGGGCGTCCTTTCTTTATTTGTACCTTTGTCCTTCAGAAACTTAGTATGAAGATGATGAGGTATTCCCCACTCATCAATACAACTTCTTTTGAAGTCTTTCACTCAAAACCATGGCATGAACATGAGCAGGTAAAGGACAAGGTAAAAAGGGTTTAATGAGATCAAAAGGATATCAGAACAAACAAAAGTAGACTTAAGAAAAATTACATTGACAATCAGTCATATCACATGGTCCTTACTGATACACTCCTATATGCAATGGAGCCATGAGTGTTCATTCAGAAGTATCTTGTTTCTTTGTATCCTACTCAATTGCCCAAATTCTGCACTTTCTTGCCTTATATACTAGTTTATACTAGTTACTACTTGCCCCAGTTTATTTTTCTTGGGAGACTTTCTATACAGGAATTGAATCAGGCAAGCAGAGTCCTATGTTAAGTCCCTACCTGTGTCCCGACTGCTCTGAGACATGGAATCATTCTCCACATTATAGATGACTGTCCCCTGAGAATCAGAAGAGAAGTGACTGACCACAGACTCATGGTGAGAATGTTTGTAGGGATAGCTCTCCGTTGAGGAATCTGTTCGAGTGTCACTTGAGATGGAAGGCTCCCTTCCTGAAGGAAGGAGGAGACAGAGGGAAAAGTGAGGAAAGAGAGAACAGTGATAGAAGTGAGGAAAGGAGATAGACGCAACAAAGACCCATAAGGCAAGAACTTCCTAGAAGGAAGGGTGAGAGGAATACACCACAGAGCCATTCTTCCCAACACCCATCTTCCAGGTAATCCAGACACACATACAATTCCTCCCACCCCTGTCCCTACCTTGCTGAAGCCCTCACTTTGCCTGCCACTGTGAAAAACTGTGGGGTTTTTAGAAAACCTATGGGGGAAAGTGGAAGAAATGAAAAAGTTGTGAGACGTAAGATCTATATAGATGGAAAGCCCCAGGCCAACCTGTCACACATGCCAGTGTTCACCTATCTTAGAGCTCTCCCCTATACTGTCACACATGCCAGTGCTCACCTAACTTAGAGCTCTTTTATATTGTCTTATATGTTGCTTTAAAAACTTGACAACACATTTTTAGTATCTTTGGGGAATGAGTGTGAATATGTCCAAAAGAAGGCTTTTCTCTGAACCTTAGCTAAGATAAACACAACAGACAAATGGGCACTGGACTGAAGAAAGAAACAGAGCAGGTCTGGGTAAGGGACAAAACAGGAAGAGCAGCTGGACCTGGTATAAGCCCAGCACTCAGGAGGCTGAGGCAGGAGGATCACCGTGATCTAGAGACCAGCCTGAGCTACATAGTGAGTTCCAGGCTGGTCTGTGCTATAAAGTAAGGCTGTCTCAAAAGACAAACCAAATCAAAACAAAACAGCAGGAAGAAACACAGCAGACCAGATAGCAGACCAAACACAGCAACAGGAGGGAAAAGACTTTAAAGCAAGTATCTTCTCTTTCAAAACTATACTAAAAGCCAGTCCTGTATCTTTACAGAAATCAAGCCCAAATTACAAGGGTTATAGTTCAAATATTATCAGCCTCTGCGGGGTATCCTGTGACTCAATAGTCGTAAGCTCAAAGTTATTTCTATAGGAAGGCATTATGTAATTCCAAACAGTTGGCTTAGACTGGAACAACTGATTCATACATTGAGGACCATCACTTCTACATTTGGAATTTAAACAAAACTCTTTCACCTCCAAGGATTAGTACTGTAGTGATCTAGTGTTTCTTAACAATTCACTTAAGCCAGGGACCAGCAAGATGGGTCGGTGGTTAGGAACACTTTCTGCTCTTGCAGAGGACTTGGGGTTCAGTTTCCAACACCCACTTGGTAGATCATGACCATCCATAACTCCAGTTCCAGAGGATTCAAAACCTTCTTCTGGATTCTGTAGGCACCAGGCATAAAACACAGTGCAACATGCACACAGGCAAAACATTCATACACATAAAATAAAATAAATACATATCTTTTTCAAACTTCACTTAAGCCACTGTAACACTGCTAGCAAGAATCAATAACCTTTAACAATGTTACAAGGCTACTGAAGTATCCCTTATAATTTCATTTTAGTATCTTGATACAAACACTTTTGATTTGGGGCAGGCTGATTTGGGGCAACACACTCTTGAAAGCTGAAGAAAACAAAGCTTGATGCTAATCAGCTTGTGTACAAGTTGGCACTTCTTTCTTACAAAGTAACAGACCTTCTTTCTCCTAGCTAGACTGTGAGCTGAACTTTTAAGTACCCAACCATCTGACTCTACTGGGTGGCGGAAGAGTTAGGCTGCTCACCTGAATCTTCACTATCGTAGCATGTCTTGGTGTATGACAGGAACTGAGCTTGGGGAGGCAGGTCCTGGGTAGACACTGGGGTACCCTGGGGATCTGCATAAAGCAGCAGCAAGGGCTGATAATGCCCTTTGATGCATTTGGTTACCACATCCTTCCATTTTGGACCAATCTGAGCCAGAAATACCAAAAGAATATGACAATTACCCTTCATATACACAATTCAAAACATAATTCCTTTCCTAATATAGTTTTCTTTTTTTTTTTCCTAATGTAGTTTTCTTACAACAAAATTTAGGTAGAAAAAAAATGTGCTGGGTGGTGGTGGCACACGCCTTTAATCCCAGCACTTGGGAGGCAGAGGCAGGTGGATCACTGCAAGTTCGAGACCAGCCTGGTCTACAAGAGCTAGTTCCAGGACAGCCTCCAAAGCCACAGAGAAATCCTGTATCAAAAAAAAAAAAAAAAAAAAAAAAAAAATTGTCTTCGAAGAAATGACATTCAATTTCAGAGTTCACATGGTAGGACACACAATGTCAAACTGCTTAGAATGGACAATTTGAACCTCTCACCCGAAGCCTTGTGATGGATTCAGCTCTGCTAGCATAGTAGAAGAATAGCATAGCAGCCATAAAAACAACTGGACCAAACCCATAATAGACTCATCCCTTCTTAAGTTTGAACCAGGCACATTCTTAAGTATAAGTTATGGTTTGCCAGGTAGACAACTAGCTAGTATGGTAGTTTACTCGTAACAGAGATTCAATAAATTTAAACCAAGTTGCCATTCTTTTAATTAAAGCATAGTTTATGTTTTCACATACCAACCTTATTATTTTGTAAGAATACTTTTCAGATAAAAAACCTAAAGTTCAAATAATTTGTTGCTCCCCACGCCCCCCCCAAAAAAAAGAGAATATGGGAATTTGACATACTATTTATGGAAGATTTTGCTTCAAATCCACAGATTGATATGGTCAGCATACCTACAGCAGTCTCTATAGCTGCTGATTTTTTATTATTAATTAAATTTATTCATTTATTTTACATCTCTACCACAGACTCCCCCACTTCCTCTCCTCCCACTCTCTCCCTGACCTCTCCCCTGCTCCTGCTGATTTTATGACAGGTGGCTTCCTAACTGATGCAGACATCTAAACCATTTTATCCCTAGTCTGCTTTAGACAAGACCAAGTTTCTTGCTCTAAGAATCAATATAGCCCTATGTTTCATGTTAACCTCTAATAAGTAACACCAGGGAAATGAGAATTGTGGGATAATTTTTGTTTGTTTTGTTTTTGTTTTGACAGAGTTTCTCTTTGTAGCCCTGTCTGTCCTGGAACTCAATCTGGGGGCCAGGCTGGCCTCAAACTCTTAAAGGCATGAGCCACCACAACCCTGGGAAAGATAATTTTTAATAGCCTTGAAACAAATTATCACCTATGGATAATGCCAGATTGAAAATCCACAACTCAGTGTTAACCACATAATCTAATTAGCTGCATTACATGTTCCCATTCAAATCAACCATTTAATAATGATGATTTGTCAACTATAAAAACTGAACCATGTTGAATGTCCTGTTTGCATCAATTATAGAACTTAAAACTAATGCCCTTACATTTAACACATAAAGGCCAGAAGTAATAGCTCTTCTGTAATTTGGGAGGCTAAAGAAGGAGAACTTCTACAAGTTTGAGGCCAGCCTGGGCTACATTGTGACTTCCAGGCCAGCCTGAATTACAACAGATTAAGACCCTGCTTCAGAAAAACAACCAACTGGAAACTGGAGAGATGATTCAGCAGTTAAGACTGATTAATGATCTCAAAGAGGACTAGAGTTCAGGTCTCAGCACCCACTCAGGTGACTCACAAAAACCTGTAATTCCAGACCCAGGGATCTGACACCTCTAGCCTCTGAGGGTCCCTGCACTTACATACACACACCCATACAAGTGGGCAGGCACAAATGTGCCTACACAGACACAATTTTAAATAATCAAATTAGCCAGGCAGTGGTAGCACACACCTTTAATCACAGCACTCAAGAGGCAGATCTCTGTGAGTTAAAGGCCAGTCTGGTCTACAAAGAGAGCTCCAGGACAGCCAAGGTTACACAAAGAAACCATATCCTGCTCCACGCCCCCACCACCAAAACCCAACAAATAAGAAGAATTAAATCCTTTTTAAGAAAAAAAAATAATAACTAATCCAATCATCACAAAGTGTGTATCTTACCAACATTGTAGAGAATCACCATTCAAAATTATTGAAATAAAAACTGAAGAAAAATAAGTGTGATTTTTTTTTTTTAATTTCAGTCACCAAATACTTCAAGATCCTTGCATATTCCTACCTCTTTGACATGAGCATCATCAAAATACATCCATTTTCGGATCTTTGTTTGAAAAAAGAATGTAGAATAATGTTTGCCATAGTAACAGATCATTCCTACTAAGTATAGTTCAGACTGTTTAGCCCGGTCATCTGTCACTCTGAAAAACAGCTATGGGAAGAAAAAAAAAAAGGAAAAGGGAAAGATCCATTATAGTCAACCATCTAACATAATCCCTCAGCACAACATTTCTCTTCCTTCTCCCACACCTCAAACAAGGCCACACTGTGGAGCCCTGACTGGTGGTACTCACTATGTAGGCCAGTCTGGCCTCAAACACAGCAATGTTTAAGCCTCAGCCTTCTTTGTGCTGAGACTACAGGCATGTACTACCACACCTAGCTCTTCCATCAACATTTCTTTTGTTTTGTTTTATTGAAACAGAGCTACATGTAGCCCAGACTGACTTTGAACTCATTGTATAGCTAAGAATGACTGAGCTCTTGATCCTCTACTTCTGTCTCTCAAATACTGGAATTACAGATGTGTGCTACAATGTCTAGTGGCCATCAACATTTTTGTTTGTTTGTTTTTGTTTTTCGAGACAGGGTTTCTCTGTGTAGCTTTGGAGCCTAACCTGGCACTCACTCTGGAGCCCGGGCTGACCTTGAACTCACAGAGATCCACCTGCCTCTGCCTCCCGGGTGCTGGGATTAAAGGCATGCACCACCAACACCCGGCTTGCCACCAACATTTCTTAATGAAGGCAGTATTTTGCTTCTCCCTTCAATCTGAAATAGTTTTGCTAGTCCAGATTATTTATTAGAAATGAACTGAAAAAAACAAGCAAAAACCCCATTTTTAAGATGTTACTGTGCACAATCTACTTCAGTTACATTCCTTGAGGAGACCCAAAATGTGACTCCAGACAGTTCATATATTCTAGAGTGGCTATTTAAAACAAGAACAGTCACAGGACTATCCCAGACAGAAACCAGAACAAAGAAAACCAGACTTTCTGGTTCTCCTTGAACTGAAGGAAAATACTAGCTGTCTCTACTTTAGGACTGAGAAGAATGAGACCTACTCTCACATTTGTTTCCCCATTCCCCAAAAGAAATACATGGAAACCCCTAAGCTACTAAATTACCATCTAAGCTATTTTATGTCGGTCAAGTCCCAACCTTACAAAATGGCAATCGGGGTTCAGCTCAGGCTGCATTCTGACCTAGTAACACTCAGCATTCCTCAGGAATATTGTCAAATGAATTTTTTTTTGGGGGGGGGCAGGGAAAGCCATCACTTTCTGTCCATTCCTACAGTCCGCCAATCTACAGAGAGAGCATGTAATCCTCTATTAATGTAAACAAGTTTCCAACAGATCAGACCCCATGCTAGTTCCCAGGCTGTTCCACTAACCTGCCCTCCTCCTGCTGCAATATAAGCCCTTTAACTGGCAGGACTCTCCCACTATTTTCCCAGTCTTCTCTGCTTTCACAACCCTGGCAATTGCCAGTCTGCCTCTCCTTGCCTTTTCTCTCTGCTCCTATCTCTGTCCTGGAGCAGACTCCACCAAACCAAAGCAGACTCTGTCTATTCTCTCTCTTATCTAAAAAAAAAAAAAAAAACCTTCCCCCCTCACAAGGGAGTGGCCTTGATGGTAGTTTCTCTGTGGTGTCCTCACTGTGAATTTCCTGTTCTTGGGCTCAGACCACCAGACTACCTCCTTCAGGTCCCAGAGTCAAGACAGCTTGTTCCTTTGACCTTACTTTCTCCCATGGTTACCATTCTGGTATGAACAAACAATGACCATCCCATAGAAACTGTTTTCTTTTTTTTTTTTTTTTTTTAACCAATATCTAAGTTCTGCCCATCCTGTCCTTCCAGGCAAAAACTGTGCCTTTTTTTTTTTCTAAAAGGGTTCTATCATCCTTACAAAAGTGGTATATGAGCATGTGCATGAGGCTCACAAATTTGCAAGTATTATCTGTCCAAAATGCTACACTGTCACATAGAACATACCTGTCTGTCCAGTGCTTGAACAATACAAAAATAAAGATAGCTAATACATACATCACCCAACTTAAGGCAGGTGCCCAGACTGTGGATGACATCCTCTGCCAAGTCTGAATGGTCTGAGTCCCAAACCAATCCAATTGTGATAATCTGTGGTGCGTTCATCAACACACGACGGATCCGGATCCTCTCCCCACAGTTACTCTGAAATACACACACAACACAGCACTAGTTCAAATATTCCCACCTGCTCTATGGCAATGCTACAAGCCAGGGTTCTCTTTCTCATTCTAACTCACCGGACAGTTCCGCAGGTCCCCCATGGTGCTGGCATTCTGAAGCAGTTCACCAAACATACTTGGAGAAGGTTTCTCTCGTTTTTCCAGCATACAAATAGCCTGGTTACTTCAAGACAGGAAAAGGAAAAAGGTAATGGCAGATGTTGTAACAAATTATGACTAAATTAAAAAACAAAATTATTCATACAAACCCTAACTCACACATCATCTTTTTTTTTTAATCTTTTTTTTTTTTTTTTTTTTTGGTTTTTCGAGACAGGGATTCTCTGTGTAGCTTGGGAGCCTATCCTGGCACTTGCTCTGGAGACCAGGCTGGCCTCGAACTCACAGAGATGGCCCTGCCTCCTGAGTGCTGGGATTAAAGGCGTGTACCACCAACACCCGGCTTTTTTTCTTTTTTTAAGACACAGTTTTATTGTGAGCTCTCTCTGGCTGTCTTAGAACTTGCTATGTAAACCAGTACGGCCTCCAACACACAGAGATCCATCAGCTTCTGATTAAAGGCGTGGTGTGCATGTGTGATTTTCATTTGCTGACTACACTACAGCCCCATGTCCTGACTAGCTAGCCTCAGTGTCCTACAAACGCAGTTGAGTCTATTTGTCCCCAAATCCAAAGCTCAGAGACTCTCCATTTCTCATCCCATTTGCTAGCCATTAATAAGCCTAAGAATTCTGGAGTTCTGTAATATAGCACAAATTCAGCAATAAGGATATATGCTATTTGGTGGCCTTTAGTTAAAACCCAATCAACTGAAGGAATGCCTAACAGTACAAAAAAGAATTCCATAAGAATGTGCTGAGCCAGATGGTGGTTCACACACCTTTAATCCCAGCGCTTGGGAGGCAGAGGCAGGTGGATCTCTGTGAGTTTGAGACCAGCCTGGTCTATAAGAGCTAGTTCGAGGACAGCCTCCAAAGCCACACAGGGAAACCCTGTCTTGAAAAATGGAAGAGGAGGAGGAGGAGGAGGAGAAGGAAAAGACGGATGAGGAGGAAGAAGAAGAAGGAAGGAGGAGGAGGAGGAGGAGGAGGAGGAGGAGGAGGAGGAGGATCTTGAGTAGCAGGTAAGAGCAGTGTCTGCTCTTCCAGAGGACCCTGGTTCAGTTCCTGGCACCCAAATGTCAGCTTATGGCTGTCTGTAACACCAGTTTCAGGGGATCCAAAACTCTCCCTGACCTCTGTAGGAACCAGGCACGAGCATGATACACAAACATACATGCAGGTAAAACATTCATACACATAAAATAAAAACAAATGAATCTTAAAGGAAAAAAAGAATTCCATAAAACTCACCACAGGGAAGTAGTAGAGATGTAATGCACCATCTGGATGAAAGGCAGGGGGTCAGAAGTGGCACCGCAGCTAGTACATACACACTGCGCCAGAGGGGAAACGCAAAACTAAGTATCCACAGCCATGAACTGTTTGGAAACCCATTTAACTCTACATCACCAGATAAAATGTTGGTTTTTGTTTGTGTTTGTTTGTTTTTATGTATAGAAGTGCTCTATATGCATGCACACCAGCACACCAGAAGAGGGCATCAGATCTAATTATATATAGATGGTTGTGAGCCACCATGTGGATACTGGGAATTGAACTTAGGTCCTCTGGAAGAGCAGCCAACACTCTTAACTTTTGAGCCATCTCTCCAGCTGGACAAAATGTTCTTAAAGAAAAAGTCTAGGACATGAGGATAGACAGGTTTACCTGCTCAAACAATGTCATTGCAAATTTCTGGTGAGAAATGCAGTGTGGGGCGGTACATATATCCTCTTTGGTTTCATCCGCAATGTGGAAGTGAATTCTCATCAAGAGGTTTTCCTGACCGGAAAAATACAAAAGCAATACACTTAAAAGCCAAATGGACAAGTTGGATAGCAATTCATCCCAAGACACAGACGCCTTCCTGGAAAGCAGAAATATCTCTAAATTTTTTTAACTTTTTTTAAAGGAAGGAAGGAAGAAAAGAAGGGAGGGAGGAAGGAAAAAGAAAGAGAGAGAAAGAGAAGTAGATACAGACAGACAGACAGACAGACAGAGGAAATTAGTGTAAGCCATAGTCATTCAGATTTTTTACCGGTTTTACATGAACTGGGTTTGGATGCAATTTCATCATATACATTCATGTAACCACTACGACAATCAAGACACCACAGAGCTGTTCCATACCTCACCTATCTACCATAATCCTAACTCCAGCAACCACTAGGCTGCTCCCACATATTTATCATTTTGTCATTTCAAGAATACTATATAAATGGTATCACATAGTATATAACTTTCTTTCTTTTTTTTTTTTTTTTTTTTTTTTTTTTTTTTTTTGCAACAGGGTCTTCTGTATCCTAGTCTGGCTTGAAATTCACTATGTAGCCTGGGATGACCTTGTACTTCTGATACTCCTGCTTCCACTTCATGAGTGCTGGAATTACAGGTGTGCATTTTTATGTCTGATTTATACATTAGGGGTCAGACTCAGGCTACATACAGTAGGCAAGTACTCTACCAACTGAACTATATCCTCAATCCCAATAAATAAACTTTTAATATTACATTTTCATTCAGCATTAATCCTATACCAACCCCCTTTTTTACTTTGAGATAGGGCTCTGGTCCTTCAAGGACTCCACTGCAAGACTCAGTCTTAAAAAGAAATAAACAAGGGGGCAGAGTGATGGCTCAGGGGTTAAAAGCACTAGCTGCTTTTCCAGAGGTCCTGAGTTCAATTACCAGAAAGCACATGATGCCCTCTTCTGCTTTACAGGCATTCATGCAGGCAGAACACTGTATACATAACAAATAAATAAATCTTAAGAAAGACAGACCAGGCTGTGGTGGTGCGCGCCTTCAATCCCAACACTCAGGAGGCAGAGACAGGTGGATCTCGGTGAGTTTGAAGCCAGTCTGATCTACAGAGAGAGTTCCAGGACAGGCTCCAAAACTACAGAGAAACCCTGTCTTGAAAAACAAATGAACAAACAAAAGACAGAATTAAACTCACTATGAAAATCTCACTTTATAATCCTGGGAAGCCTGGAACTTGCTGGTCTTGAACTGAAAGAAATCTCATGTGTCTGCCTCCTAAATGCCAGGATTAAAAACATCATGTGCCACCACATCCTGCTTAAGGTTTCAGCTCATTACTTATTCTGCCTATGCATGGGAGGGAAGGGGTCACAGGTCAACTGGTGGAAACCAGCTCCCTTCTTTCACCATATGGTCCTGAAGACCAAACTCAGTACCAGACTTGGCAGCACATTAACCATGTGCCACCAAGCCATCTCACTGGCCTCTGTCTGTCTGTCTTTCCTTCTGAGGTGGGATCTCACATAGTTCAGACAGATCTTGAACTTGCTCTCCAGCCAAGGTTGGCCTTCAATTATGGTACAATGGCACATGTTCATAAACCCAGTACCAAAGAGACAGAGGCAGGAGGATCACCAAATGTTTAAAGTCATCCTCATTTGCATTGTAAGTTCCAGTCCTGCAAGGACTCCACTGCCAAATCAAGTCTTAAAAAGAGTAAACAGAGTTAAACTCACTATGAAAACCAGCCAATGAGCCCAACTCTTCTGAACTGTTACTATTTATCCAACTTGAAAAGATATCCTGTGGTACTCTGTATGTCAGCACATGCATTTAGCACTTATGAGGTGGGAGACCAAGGATTAAAGTCACTAGAGCAATGTAACTGTTTACAAAGAACATCACAGTCTCTATTTAATGCTGTTAGAAACAGAAGTTCTGCAGGGCAGTGGTGCACACCCTTAATCCCAGCACTCGGGAGGTAGAGGCAAGCAGATTTCTGTGAGTTCCAGACCAGCCTGGTCTACAAGAGTTAGTTCCAGGACAGCCTCCAAAGCCACCAAAAAAAAAAAAAAAAAAAAAAAAGAAGAAGAAGAAGAAGAAGGAGGAGGAGGAAGAGGAAGAGGAGGGGGAGGAGGGGGAGGAGGAGGAAGGAAGGAAGAAAGAAAGGAAGAAAGAAAGAAAGAAAGAAAGAAAGAAAGAAAGAAAGAAAGAGAGAAGTTCAAAATATACAGTTCTCCAGAGTAGCACCATCAATACAGCATTACCTGGGCACTTGTTAGAGCTGGCTATTCTTGGTCCTATGCCAGACTATTGGATCAGAAGCTCTGGGAGTACAATTTGTACTTCAACATGCCTTGGTTCCCCTGAAGGTGAAAGCTACTGTTTTATGTAATGGCAAGCATTAAACTACCCTAAGCCTGAAGGAAAAAAAATCAAAAATTCATATTGTAGCAGTAGACTCTCGAACTCTTAGAAGGTTGAGAAATTTCTAGTCCCAATGCAGAGACAAGGACATAGTAAATGCCATCATAAAATAGTCAGTCCTTGATGAAGATGAACAGCCCTACTCCTTATCATTGAGGGCAAGAGGGCAGCACTTACAAAGCACTCTGCAGCATCATCCATAATTCCCAGCTGGAAGCGTTGCTCATCTTGAAAAGTCTTTGCCAGAGCACTGCGGAGAGTGTCAGAGGGAAGCACTTTTTCACTGCTACACTGAAACTGGTTAAAAATGCCCTGTAGGGAAGAGGTTAGACAAGAAGAAAAGCACAATGCTGTTATTGAGCTTCTGTACATCCAAGGCGTTCATGCTATCATTCCTATGACAACCTGGAAACAAGATAAAAATAAGCTGGGTGGTGGTAGCACATGCCTTTAACCTAGCACCCAGGAGGCAGAGGCAGGTGGATCTCTGTGAGTTCAACACCAGCCTAGTCTACAGAGTGAGTTCTAGAACAGGCTTCAAAGCTACACAGAGAAACCTTGTCTCAAAAACCATGAATGAATGAATGAAAGAATGAATGAATAAAAGAAAATTAAGTTCATAGCTCAGTTGGTCGATTGCTTGCCTAACATGCACAAAGCCCTAGCTCAGGTCCCCAGCATTGTACAAACCAGGCACAGTAGCACATGCATACAATGCCACTGTTCCAGACATAAAGGCAGGAGGATCAGAAACCCAAGGTAATCCTTGGCTACAAAGCAAGTTTGAGGTCAGATTAGACTACATAAAATCCTGCCTCAAAAAACAGAAAAGAAAAAAAAAAAAAAAAAAGACATTCCTCTGTTGAAAACCCTCCAAAGATTTCCCATCAGTTAAGCAGCAAAAGCCAAAGTGAAAATGCTCCATGTTATTTGGCCTGCTATCTACTCTGACTCATCCACACCAGCCATATGGCCTCTCATTACACCCTCAACTATTCCATGACCTAGACTTGTGTTCCTTACTTGAATCACTCTCTTCTTGTGCAGCTTGGCCACTTACTTCCTGCAGAGTTTTATCAAATGCCACTTCTCAGTACAGCAGCTCTAGATCAACCTACTTAAATTGCAGGTTCTAGGCCAGGCGAGCACACCTTTAATCCCAGCCCTAGGGAGGCAGAGGCAGCAGCAGGTCTAAAGGGTAAGTTCCAGGACAGCCAGGGCTACACAAAGAAACCCTCAAACAAATAAACACACACACACACACACACTGGAAAGCTCTCTTTTCCTAAATTCCCAGCATTCCCTGTTTTCTAATATCGTACTTAGTATTAATATATTACATATTTTAGCTAGAATACAGAAGTGAGAAGAAGTAAGTTTTATTCTTTTATTCTTTGATATATTCTCAGTACCTAGAATGACACTATTATATAAAAGACAACAAAAATGCATGTTTTAAGTAACTGAATCAATCAATCATATGATATGGGTAGATCTCATGAAAGGAGACTATTAAAGGAATTTTTTCCTCTCTCTTTTAAAAATACAGAAATCATACAGAAAAGTTGAAAATCTAGAGATAATATAAATTGTTAAAGAAGTTTGGCTTATTCATTTTGAAGTTAAAATTACCTTCATTTCACCCTCTTACTAGCATCTTTTCTCTTCATTCATGCTAAATATTCTAAAGCCACTCAAGCACAGATTACCATGTAACTTATTATTTCCTAACAAACGATTCCCTACATTGTACAGGAGGCAGGCCAGCAATATATATTGAGTGTTACTTAATATGTTCTGGGGACTCTACTGTAATTATTCCAAGCTATTTTGGAGCAACTTAGAATCTACTTATGAGTCTACTATCAAGTTAGGTAAAGACATAGCAGGGCATTCCACAATTTGTTGCTGAAGAATGAGCATGCCTGTGAGAAAGCACTTAACTAGAGCAAGAGAAAGGACACAGGTCTGCAGTTAGACAATGGGATATCTGTCTGATGACCGAGAGACTGAAATTTTGATGACTACTACTACTACCACAAATCACATGGTGGCTTGGGCATGACAGCCCAGTGATTTACTGGGGAAAAAGTCACCCATTTGGCAAGGCTGGTGATCACCAGTTAGCTAATCTTCTCAACTGTTCCTGATAAGGCACACTGCTGACAAAAACCATTTCCAAACCAAAGGGCCAATGAAGTTTGCATCTCTGGAGTCTAAACTGGTGTGCGTGCCTAGGTATGCATGTGGAGGCCAGGGGTCTGATCATCCTCAATTGTTCTCCACCTTACTTTTTATTGAGACAGGGCCTCTCGCTGAATCTGGATCCTACTGCCTGGCCAGCAAGCCCCTAGGGATCCTCCTGTGTCAGCCTCCCCAGCACGGGGATTAGAGGCATTTACTATGATGACTACTTTTAACAACGGCACTCGGGATCCAAACTCAGGTCCTCCTGCTTGAGAAGAAAGCAATTTGCCACTGAACCACCTCCCAAGCTTCTAAAAGCAGTTCTAAAGCAACCAGGAAAATATTTCTAAAACAACTCTGTTCAAATTAGATACTTGCAAATTTTAACACACACACACACCCCCCCCCCCCCCCCCCCCCCCCGCCAGTCTTTGCTTGAATTTCCTAGAAATTAAGCCTTACTACTCCTAAGGTATTGCTATAGAAATTTTATTTTCTTCAATGTGTAGCAGAAACTATATACCAACTTAAGGAAAATATAACTCACTTGGACCCCATTGTGGTGGCTGTTACCTATAATTCTAGTAATCAAGAGGCTGGTATAGGAGGACTATAGTGATATCTTGTTTATACTATAACAAATAAAGCTTGCCTGAAGATCAGAGGGCAGAGGTAGCCACTAGTTAACCATAAAGGTCTGGAGGTCTGTATAGACAGACAGGAAGTGATATGGCTGGGTGGAGAGAGAAAGTAATAAATCAGGAGGAGACAGGAATTCAGCTCCAGCTATGTCTCTAGTAAAATGAAACAGTTTTTTGCTTATTACAGTATAAAGCATATTACAGGTATACCACACAATCCTACAGGGCAAGCAGTTAGAGAAAATCAAATCGAACTCTAAAGGATATGCTAAATAAACAGAAAGGGGTAATAAAGACTCCCCCAGAAATAGATTGCATAATGCTTTATTAACTTTGAATTTTCTGAATTCTAATGGTAAAGGAATGACAGCTGTGGAGAGACATTGGATAATAGAAAAAAAAAAAAAAAAAAAAAAAACCTAAAAATTAGACCAGACTGTATACTTTAAAGATGTGCTGACCTCAGAATGGAAACCAGGAAATGTGTTACCATGGGGAAGGGGTTTTGCTTTTGTTTCCCCTGGAGAAGAAAAACTATGGATACCATCAAAATTGATAAAGATTAGATTTGAACAAGAGACACCCCTTGATTAGAAGAAGTGATAGTTAATCAAACAGTATGACAGTTCAATCTAAACTAACTTTAAAACTAACAAATGCTTTTCATTTGATCAAATATAACTTGCCATAAGGGAACCTCCCCAAAATTAGGGTTAGAGATGGGTGTTGTTTTTGTCTTTTCAGGAGAATGAAGGCATCCAGCTAAAAAATCTGAAGACTACTGGACAAATAAGACATGTGAAGAAAAAGGACAAATCATCCAGAAAAACTGTCTCAAGAAAAAGTAATTTGACCTATTAGTATATCACATCTCCAACAGGACACAATTTCATAATTCTTCCTAAATGCTTGTTTCTGCTTTTCTCTACAGACATATAATGCAAATGGTCTTTTTTGTAGTCCCAGTCCAATTAAAAATTACAGCAGGCTTTGGAGTTGGAGTGAGGCTCTCACCTTCTCTAAACCCAAGGATGCTTGTTAAGGTAAAACCCAAAATCTCTCTCATGTCAAAGAGTCACCTGATATAGGACAGAAGAAAAATAAAAATTAAAGGACTATTTTATTACCACTAATCTCATAATCTTTTGATTCTATTTTGAATCTTTGACGCTTTTCTTGAGGTATAAATATTATCTAAAAATATATAAGATTAATATACACATATATTAAAGCTTTTATTATGGTATATAGAGCACTATAGATCAGAGGGTGAAGGGACCAGCTCCCCATTTTGGCAGCCATAACAGCTGGACACGTGCTTTTCTGACCCTGCCTTGGCCTCTAGAGGTTAGGTGCCTGCCGCATGGCAAGGATCCAATCAGAAGTTAGCTGGTAGTGGTATGCTTTACGGCTCTGAGTGTGCTTTATGGACAAGTGCACAGCAATGACTCGCAGAGCATAGCAACCACCCTGAGAGGGCCTATAGGCCATAACAACCAGTTGACCAATCAACACAGGGCAAGCCCTCCAAGCCTGGAGGCACACCAATCCTGAACCTGTGCATACACCTAGACACTCTCCTTACGATGCCCTATAAGATCTCTATGCAGCCAGTTCGAACTGTCTTTGCTAGCCATCCGCCATGGCTGGGGGATGAAAGACCCAAGCTAACATGGGGTTAGCTCGTTAAACAATAAAGCCTCATGCAGTTTGCATCAAGCTTTCGACTCAGCCTGGTGATTGGGGTGGCCGAGGTCCTGGGCTAAGATCCTGAAAGCCTGAGTTTTCCGGGGGTCTTACAAGGGTGGAGCTAGCCATTAGTTAACCAGGTCTGGAGTTCTGTACAAAAAGACAGGAAGTGATAAGGCAGGGGGAAACAGGAGCTCAGTCTCTTTTCAGCTGGGAAATTGAGTAAGTAAGGTGGCTGTGGTTTTGGTCCTTCATCTCTCTGATCTCTCAGCATTTTCTCCTATATCTGACTCCAGGCTTTTATTATTAAGATCTATTAAAACTCACTGTGATAGAGGACTGCCAAGACCCTGGGCCACAAACTGAGACCCTGTTTCCGAGAAAGAAAAGAAAGAGAAAGGGAGGGAGGAAGGAAGAGAGGGAGGGAGGAAGGGTTACTTGTTTCCTTATGTTTTGTGTTGCAAATGGCCCTATTTAAGAAAGATGAGGATTCCACCCAAGAGATGACATAGTGAAGGGAGCTGAGGATGTGGCTCAGTTGACGAGTTTGCCTAGCTTACACAAAAACCTGGGTTCAAGTCCCAGTACCATATAAAATCAAGACACAGTGCAATATGCCTGGAGCCAAACTGTGAGGCAGAGGCAGATGGATCTCTGTGAGTTCAAGACCAGCATGGTCTTCAAGAGCTAGTTCCAGGACAGCCTCCAAAGCTACAGAGAAACCCTGTCTCAAAGAACAGAAAAAAAAAAAAAAAAAATTCCCAAGAACCAGCCGTTGTGGCATATGTCTATAAT